TCATTAATTTTTTTGTCTCAAAAGTCGGTGTTTTTTGCCCAAATCTTCCATATATTTAGCGTTTGAAGGTTGATTGATGTTTCTCCTGCATCCAAAGTCATTGCTGAGTTGTTTGGAGAAAGGAAATTTTTGGCCAAATTTGATAAAAAATGTAAGGCTAACCCCTTGCATTTTTTTCAACTTTGAGCGAAAAATGAAATTGCTTGAAACGTGCAGGAAAGATGCCTGAAGGTACCTACAGCAAATTCGAACTAGAATTTTGGACAGAACAGGCATTTAAAAGAAAGATTGTGTCGATAATTTTGGTCAAAATTAGTGAAAATCATTAATTTTGTCTCGACCTGTTGTAAATCTTTTGTCTTAATTTAAATCCTAGTTCATGTTAAACTATTTTTATTTCTGTAACTCTGTCTTGTAATTTTGTTAACTTTCCTGTCAAAATGTAATTTGTAAGTTCTCTTTTGCCTCAGCAGAGGTCGTAGAGGGAAGTCAAATTCATTGTCATTTTCATTGTTTTGGACAAAAATACAATAAATTGATCATCGACCTATTAAAATATAAATGATGGCGACAGATGTTGGCCGGTTGGTCCATGAGGCAACAAAGCTTTTTGATTGGAGTGATCGCAAGACAAAGTTTCATCCTTTTGAGACTAAATATAATTATGTCCCTTCATACATCGGTGGGGCTGATGTCGATGCCTGGTTCCACCCGTCTCAGTAGGGGTAAGAGGAGCATTTGTACAGCACAGATGAAGCATATTGCGCTACCCACGTAGAAGACTGTGGGATAACTACCTGCGCCCGCAGTCATGTCCAGAATCCAACCTGGTGGTAGAAAAAGAGAAATAATACTGGCAAATGATGCTCTTTCCCCCATGAAATATGCCAGGATGCCTGTGGTCAATAGCTTAAAAGTAAACAAAAATTTAAAGACAATTCCACCCATTCTACTGTCGATACTGAAAATATATTCTGAAAATCACTTAAGATGGCGTCCCGAGTGGTTTTCTCCAACTTTCACTCGAAAGGTAACACACTGAGTATAAAGTGTTTAAACGTCGGTGAAGGGCACAGCTTAATTTGATTGATATCACCCCGACGCAAAATTCCATCTTAAAAAATAGTTTATGCGGTACCCGCTGCTTTGTACATCGGATTCGAATCAGCCAACCGATCCTGTTAGCTCGGTGGTCGAGTGGTAAGACATCTGCACTAGAAAGCAGGCGGTCGTGGGTTCGAGTCCCACCCGAATAGTTTTTTCCATCTTTCACTCGGGAGGTAAAACACTGAGTATACAGTGCTTAAACGTCAGTGAAGGGCAAAACCTAATTTGATTTATATCACCCCGACGCAAAATTCCATCTTAAAAAACAAACCAAGCTGGCATCATCAATCAGCAGTCCGATAGTATGTCATTAGATGAGATATCACGATTTTCACGTTGGTATCAACTATCTGCCGTTTGTGATTTTGTTGGTGATTTATAGTTTGTAGTTCAGACAGTACCAATGCCAAACATCCCTCAACATAGGACTCTCCACAATTTCGTTGTATGGTAAATATGGTTGTCCATGAATCCAGAAATCTCGCCCGTTTGGAGAATTGTTTTGCCCTTCCCTGAAGTGATTTCGTACGCAATGTGCGTATATACTGAAGGAAAATTACAACAGAATTGTTTGTACTTACCTGCAAAGACCGGCCCAATAAAAGACCCGACGCCAACCAAAATCTGGTAGAGTCCAAGGCCAATGGCTAAATTTCTCACGCCGACAAAATATCGGACTAAAACGACCACGATAGCGAAGCAGAAACCCGAAGCAAATCCATACAGAAACGAAGCTATCGCCAAAATGTAATAGCTCTCCAAGTTCAGGAGCAGTAAGGACACGCCAGAAATTACCATGGAGATGGCGGTCACGTGCTCGACCGATATCTTCCAGCTCACCAGCAGCCCGTTGCCAAGACGACCGAGCAAGCTCCCGATGCCAACAATACTGAGCAAGATGGCGGCGCTGTAGGGCGCCACACCCACGCTCTGTGCGCGGGGAACGAGGTAGACAATAAATCCCATGTACGCAGTTACGTACTGTATTTCAATGAAGCACATCAGAGCGAAGCGATAGCTCTACAAAAAGATGAAACCCCAGAGAAACTGCTAATTTTTTTAGTAAGTTCACTACGGCATTGGGGTTCTTTGTGTCAGTTGTGAGTGAGACCTCAGCCGTCTGGTGGTTGAGAGTCGTCTCAAGTTCTAAATGCATTGGTTCGAGTTCGTGAACATCATCATCATGGCAAGAGTCTCCGTTACTAGCTTGGTCATCATTGGATGCCGGTCGACTCATGGAATTTCGCCAAGTCCGGTTCGCACGGAAAAGTGCACCAAACGCTACGCAGTTTGCCGCAATCACAGAGACGATCAGAAACGCCCCTCGCCAACCGTATCTTTCCACCAGAAGTTGCAACAAAGGCGGAACCAACATGAGCCCGGTTCCATTCCCCGCGAAAGCCACCGCGTGGGCTGTCTTGTATTTCCTCTTGAAGTGCATCGCCACGGCTACTAAAGCTGAATTATAGCAAATCCCGTTGCCAACTCCTACAGGGATTGAGAAAGATATTATGAAGGGAAAAAAATAATTACTATTTAAAAACTGTCATACGTCAGCGGTCAGAAAGTTGAGGTTTGGTTGTGTGCATTCATGATTGCCCATCTATCAAGACGTTTTATCTTAATGCACGCAGCACGTTTTGGCTAAATTGTGGAAATTGAAACTTTGCAAGTAGGTAGATGCTGCAATCGCGTTCCATTATTTTGATAGCACATACCGACTATTGAAATTGTGATGTACAGCTGGTATATATCAGTCACCCAGTAGCTACAGAGAAGACCAATGAACGTCAAAATTCCTCCGACCATTTCTGAGACTCTGCAGCCGAAACGTTTGGTCAGAACCCCTCCAAGGAGACCTGCAAAGAAATATAGTGGAAAGAGAAAAATAAAGAAGATGGTGAGAGAGAAAACACCAAATTAAACGGGGATGTGTGTGAAGTTCTGTGATTCCATTGGACATGGTGGGGTTCTGATTTTTTTTTTAAAGGACGACGACATTTAAAGTCAAGATGACAACATCCTGAGATTTTTAATCACACGAGACCCACATTCTTGTCGTCATCCCATGATGAATCAAAACCAGATATCGACATCCTTCTTTCTGGATGACGTCATTGCGCGTTAATTTATCTCAGGAAGTCGACCTCCTTCTTTCAAAATGCCGTATTTATTTCTCAGGATGTACACATATTGACTATAAAATATCGTCATTCTAAGGTATTCTTATTTGTATTATTTTCATTATATATTTAGCCATTCTTACAACATTAAAAGAAAGGCACGGAACAACAAAAGTACAAGTACTGTGGTCAAACATAATCAAAAGACATACAAAAATATAAGAATGGCGAAGAATGATAAACAAAAATGAGAGAAAACAACACTGAATTTAGACGAAACAAACCCAAAAAACTATACGAAAGAGAAAAAACGGCTAGAGTTACATAAGGACATATTGATGAAAAATGCGATGAGTTAACAAAAAAATTATACAATGAAATTAAAAAGGTTAATAAAAAGGAGAGACAAAGGAAATTAAAAAAATAATAACTAATAAAGTGAAAAATTAATAAATAATTACGGCTGGACCTTACCTAGTTAGATGGCACCTCCAGAACTCCGTAGTTAAGATTTCATATACGAGACAACATCTTGTAATATGTGTATCAGGAGTGTGTATAACTAGAACAGGATGAATATTTACCAGAGAAACTTCCCACGGAAGACAAGATGCTCTGAACGGCCGCCGTTTCTTTGTCGTTGATCTCGAAGTCGTCCTTCCAGCTCAGGTACAGGACGCCTCCGCACCGCATGAGACCTGTCTGGATTGCGAGGGACAGGTGAGCGGCGATGACCACCACGATACCCCAGCCGCCTTCCCGTGGAACATCGGGCTGAGCCTCCGCTGCATGTCTATTTCGCACGTTAGACGCTCTTGGCATATTGGATCGACTGTTTAGTACTAGTCGATCAACACAAAAAGGCCACGACATCGGATTACTATTATTGTTAACACGACTAGCATCTGGAAGTTATATCATTTTAGATGGACAGCAGTCCTCTGGGACCGACCGATCGACTTGTCATCCGAACGACCGTTCGACAGACCGACAGAATGACCGACCAACCGACCGACCTACCGACCGACCGACCGACTGAACGAACGACAGAGGGACGGACCGAGTTACTTTCGAGTCCAGTTCGTCCGGTCAAGTCTAGTCAAATTAGTCAATTCTCGCACTGAGTATTAAACAAAGCTTGAATTCTGCCACAACTGAATTGAATGAAAAACAGATGTGAAAGACATGTACCATTGACGCTCCAAGTACGGACAATAACGAGCAAAGATTTCCCCAAAGATGCAGACGAGCACTGACTTCCCCAATTGCCACAGACTGCTTCTGCCACAGTTCCATTAATTGAAGGTATTTTTTTTGAATTGAAGGTTTTTTGTATTGTTCGTACCATTCTTGCAGTCCGGAGACTGAATTGCGATGGTTTACAATTTACAATTTAACAGAAATCATTTTAAAAAGACGGCATTTATACATATGTTCGACATTGAAATATTCTAAAAAGACCATTAGTACACTTACCGATAATGTCAAAGACCTATATGGTACGTAAATTATATAATTCCTCTCTGAACTGCTAGGATGCAAGATCATGTGTTTGAACTTGACAGCAAACAGCTGGTGAGCATAGGCCTTAAGATTATGGTTAACAGTGTAAGTTTGGTACAATATATTCTGCGTTCGGGCACGCACTGTTTTCTCATCAGTGGTCGATCTGTGTCTCATACCAACCTTCGACTGCTAAGTCGAGCTTTGCTCAGTAGATATAATAATGACATGATAAGCGTGGGTACAAGTGAGTACTCGGGGGAGTAGTTGACAATGCATAAAGATAATCTGTTGTTCGGGTGCAAACCCTATACATGCACAGGGAGCCGAAAACGGCACCGTAGACGAAAATTATAATTTTTTTCAGTGTGTCAGGAAGCTTGTGTTTACATTTGATAATTTTATTTTTACATTACGGGTTTGAGTGGTATAGAGCGTGAAAGTTGACCCCGAAAACATACGTGAGCTAACGAGAAACCAAACTTCCGGGCACCTTCAATATGAGCTTCAACGTGTGAAGGGAGTAGTTTTCTTGAAAAAGTTTAGTGACGCTGTTTCCTTTTTACTGAAAGGCAGATAAAAACTTTCAAAAGCAAGCACGTTTTTTGTTATTTCGGCTTACAATATGGTCAAAACAGTTAATAAAGTAATGATTTTGATAATACATGTACAAATATTTATTACAAAACTGTTATTCCTACATCTTACATACGACCCAAAGTGTCACTAAAAACGTTCAGATTAATCGGGAAAAATAACTTTCTGGCCTGCCAGTATAAACATTATACATTTTTGATAAAAGAAATAAAACAATTTCAATGATTAGCGATCTTCAACAACTGTATTGATGGTAATTTATGCCGCTTGATATTTATTCTTTTCTCTTTTTTTTGAATAAATTACAGTTCGGTTTTTTTTGCACATCAATAATGTGGTCATTGTGTGGCGTTGGAAACAAAAGTATAATTCCACAAATATTACGGTCCCCTGATCGTCAGGCCATGAAATCTGCTTTTATCCAGTTGTTCAAGTTCAACTTAGCCGTAAACTTTGCCTGTCCTTTCATACATCGGTAGGGCTGATTTCGATGCCTGGTTCTATCCGTCTCAGTAGGGGTACGAGGAGCATCTGTACGGCACCGATGAAGCATATTGCGCTCTCCACGCAGTAGACAGTCTGATAGCTATCACCGGTCAGGTCAAGGATCCACCCTGCGTACGTGAGGTTTAAAAAACAAAAACATGAAGAAAAAAAAGAATCCTTTTTTTTCAGCGCCACTACGTTGATAAAGGGCGACAAAACACGAATGACACAAGGCCAAACATAAGACAATAGAGAAACAACTTTAATCAGATACATGTAGAAATACACAAGGAGAAAACAAAATGGCTGCTCCGATGGGATAAAAGTAACAGGGCGCTATAAACAATTGGCGAAGGAGCCTTGAAACAAACTTACCCGCTACAACAGGGCCAGTTACAGCTCCAATGCCCAGGAAGATCTGGCTGAATCCAACTCCAACAGCTAATTTCCTCACGCCGACACACTGCCGAATTAAAACGAACCCGATGGCGAAATAGACACCCGACACGAATCCATATAGAAACGAAGCTATTGCGAAAAGAGAAAACCTTTCAGAGATCATGATCAGTAAGGACACCCCAGCAATTACCATGGTGATGGCGGACACGTGCTCGGCCAATATCTTCCAACTCACCAACAATCCGCTTCCAAGACGACCGAGCAAGTTCCCGATGCCAAAAATACTGAGCAAGATGACGGCGCTGGAGGGCGCCACACCCACGCTCTGTGCGCGGGGAACGAGGTAGAGCACGAATCCAATGTACGTGATGTTAAACTGCAGCTGAATGGCGCACAGCAGAACGAAGCGGTAGCTTTTCACAAACAGATGGAACCCAAAACGGACTGCTAATCTCTTGAGTAATCTAAGAATGGGATTTGCATTCTTTGTGTCCAATACGAGTGAGACATAACCCATGTTGCTGTTGGGTGTTTCCCCATGTTCTGCAGCTTGGCCTTTTGGTTCAAGTTGGACTAAGCCACCACTATGACCATAGTTGTCGTCGCTATTCTGCTCACCCTTAGCCAGGTTTTGCTGACTTGAATGAAGACCCCCCTTGGACTTCTGTTTGGTTCCGTTTGGGCGGAAGAGTGCGCTAAATGTGACAATGTTTGCCGCAACTGCAGAGGCGATCACAAACGTCCCTCGCCAACCAAAGCTTTGCAAAACCATTTGGAACAACGGCGGAGCCGCCATGATGCCCGTTCCTTCGCCAGAGATGGCTACCGCGTGGGCTAGCTTGTATTTCCTTTTGAAGTACATCGCGACGACAACCACAACCGGATTCGAAGCTATCCCTATCCCTATTCCTAGGATATAAAAAAAATTAACATCACACACAAATCCAAATCTGCAAGCAATTATAATTAAGAAAACAAAGGTTTCATAAAGATTTATGTATTAAAGCATTGACAAAAGGTTTACTGAGGCCTTAATCATGAAATCATTGCCTCCTGTAACTCCGCTTCAATGCACGAATTTGTTCGTCCCCACCGACCTCTGTTTTCTCTGAGCTCTTGTATGGCTTTACGATCGAAGATAGACACACAAAGGGAGAATAAAGATCCTTTCAGTCCTCGAACGTTGGGTCTTTTGTTAAAAGCGGTCCTCAATCGTACGGTTATGCGCTTAGTCTATGGGAGAGTGTTATAATACAGAGACAAAGGGAAACACAAAGCATTGTCCTCGAGCGTTTAGAAATTCACGACTAAACATGTATACGAAAGTTCAAATCGTGGACCTTGAACAATGGAGGAAAATAGGCTCCACGATTGACAAAATGTCCACGATTGAGATTTGTGTACAAAACCAATGAGAGCTGTTGCTAAAAAGTACAAACAAAAGAAGGACAAAAGGGGGTCCACGATTAAATGTGTTGATACACAGGAAAAAATGAGAAGTTACAGTGATGCTTCTGTTGACACAGGACAAAATGAAGAGTTATAATGCTAATTGTGTGTGTGAGTTTGTTTCTGCATTCATAGGGGACGTTGAACAAAAGGGGATAATAGGGTTCCCAATTCCCGAGAGGTCCCCAATTGGATTCGTGTACAAAACATATGGGAGGTCTTCCTAAATTGTATTTTGTATGTGAACTAAGCTGTATGAGCGAAATGACGAACTCGGATTGTTTACTTTCAAATAAGTTAAATGAAAGCACACTACCGATTATCGAAGCTGTGATGTAGAGTTGGTATATATCAGTCACCCAGTAGGTACAGAGATGACCAAGAAACGTCAAAACTCCTCCGACGATCCCTGTGACTCTGCAGCCAAAACGTTCCGTCAAAATCCCGCCAAGGAGACCTTCGAAGGTTTTGTAAAAGAAGAAAAAAAATGAAAAGATTCAAGTAGAGCAGAATAAAGACTATGTGGGTACATAGACACCATGACTAAACTGCGCATGTCTACGTCCACAAAATCTAAATGTCAAAGGGTAAAATAAAGCGACAAAACTGTACAAGAGACAAAATCTCATAACACCGATGCGTGTAGAATCTCAAATAATCCTATCATCGGTTAAAATAGGCGAAGCTACATATCAAAGGTATTAAAATGACGTATAGAATATAACATGTTTGATTTAGGTTAGGGTTAGGGTAAGAGCTCGCGACCGGGGAACATATAGGGACAGCGGAACAGGGACTGGGGAACATAGGGACCGGGGAACATAGGGACTGTGGAACATAGGGACCGGGGAACATCGGGACCGGGGAATATCGGGACCGGGGAACATAGGGACTGGGGAACATCGGGACCGGGGAACATCGGGACCGGGGAACATAGGGACTGGGAAACATAGGGACTGGGGAACATAGGGACTGGGGAACATCGGGACCGGGGAACATCGGGACCGGGGAACATAGGGACCGGGGAACATAGGGACTGGGGAACATCGGGACCGGGGAACATAGGGACCGGGGAACAAAGGGACTGGGGAACATAGGGACTGGGGAACATAGGGACTGGGGAACATAGGGACTGGGGAACATCGGGACCGTGGAACATAGGGACCGGGGAACATAGGGACTGGGAAACATTGGGACTGGGGAACATAGGGACTGGGGAACATAGGGACCAGGGAACATAGGGATCGGGGAACATAGGGACCGGGGAACATAGGGACTGGGGAACATAAAGACTGAGGAACATAGGGACTAGGGAACATAGGGACTGGGGAACATAGGGAGCAGGGAACATAGGGAGCAGGGAACATAGGGACCGGGAACATAGGGACTGGGGAATATAGGGACTGGGGAATATGGGGACCGGGGAACACCGGGGAACATAGGGGCCGGGGAACATAGGGACCGGGGAACATAGGGACTGGGGAACATATAGGGACCGGGGAACATAAGGACTAGGGAACATAGAGACCGGGGAACATAAGGACTAGGGAACATAGAGACTGGGGAACATAGGGACTGGGGAACATAGGGACCGGGGAACATAGGGACTGGGGAACATAAAGACTGGGGAACATAGGGACAGGGGAACATAGGGACTGGGGAACACAGGGACCAGGGAACATAGGGACTGGGGAACATAGGTACGTACCCATTGAATACGTCATTAGGAATTTGGATGCCCATGGATTTCAATTAAGCTACCGGCTGTCTTTACCAGATAAATATGCAGACCTAGTACATGGTGAGGAATTACCATACCGGAGAAACACGACACGGAAGAAAAGACGCTCTGAACGGCCGCCGTCTCTCTGTCGTTGGTGCTGAAATCTTCCTTCCAGCTAAGGTACAAGACGCCTGGGCTCCGTAGAAGACCATTCTGGATTGCGAAGGACAGGTGAGCGGCGATGACCACCACTATACCCCAACCGCCTTCCCGTGGGTCATCGGGTTGAGTCTCCGCTCCACGCCTGGTCCGCAAGGTGGAAGACATTGCTATAATATTCTACAAGCCGTCTGGACTGGAGGAGATTAAAGTGTCAGTGTTATTGATATGAAGTCTTTACGTTGAAACACGCAGTGGCACTGAAGCATTTGCAGCCAAACAATCAAGCCCGCGGGAAAGGGGGGGGGGGGTGCTGTTGGTGCTGCAGCACCCCAAACTACATGTATTTGGATTGGGGTGCTGGAATATGCTTCAGCACACCTTACTCCCGGGCAAAAATGTGTTCCAGCGGCTTTGACCCGAAAGCAGTAACCTCGGCCATGACAATGGTGGCAAAGTTGTTTAGGCTATGCTTGCCAGGTTTTATTTCAATCGATCTTTCAATATGGGCAATTGTTCACATTTTTCCCCTGAAGGTTTTTCTTTTCATTGAAAAGTTTCATTGACGTTGCAAGCATTCTGTACTCAACCTTTTTAAGCAAAGGAAAATTGAAACCAGTCATGCTCCAATGCTCCATGCTCCAAACTATTCATGCTTTAAAATTACCCTCTGCAAGTTTTTTTTCCTCATAAAAACTCTGTAGACCAATAAATCATTGCCTGTAGCCCCAAACTCTACCGATCATAAACATAAAGATATATTTGGTCTTTTATTCTTTTATATTTGCCATTCCTTGTAACAAACAAATAACACTGCAAATATATCGAGAGCCACATCGTTTGGCGAGTTAGAACTATGTGAATATTTTTATGAACATAAATTCATCCGCTTCCAATGGAACCATTTGTTTTGACTTAAAAAAACAAAAACATAAAACCCTTTTATACGTTTCAGTATATCAACAGTATATTTCATCACAGTGAATCCAGCATTTTCCGGGGCCTTTAAAAAAGGCCCTATATGGCCCCACGCCGTAAGGGCTCGCGAAAATAAAACAAAACATACACGACGGAATTTACTAAATGTAAGAAAGCAGCCTTGCAACAATAATATTTACATGCGATGTCATGCGTATAATGATACAATTCTTTTTCCAGAATTAAATGGAACCAAAAATGGAGATAAACTTAAATACAGGGTTCTCCAACAGTGTATTCTAAACAAAATAATGAAATAAATTGTCTTTATAATCTCAAAAACTTTTGCTTAAAAAGTCAAATGAAAGTGGCCAGGAATTGCCTCAGATTGCACCACAGAGTTTTCCAGCGCCATTTTTGCTTGCAACTCTTTAAGCCCAACCAACTGAATCGCATATGAGAAGGGGGTCAGGGTCACGCCAGGAATCACAACACACATTACTATAATGCCGAGGTAACACTTCTTCGTGTAACCCCCCTCCACCCCCTTGCCCACCACCACAAAATGCACCACGGACTGTTAACTATGACACTGAAATAAAAAAAAACAGTCTGTATTCAATCCTGACCGTTTTGCTGTTTTTCAAAGCTATTTGTGCAAAACTGTAAAACAAAAATCATTGATCGTTATATGCTATAATGAATTTTACTAAACTTATAAAACGGAGAAACCGTATTTAGTAGCGCTTGTCGTTTTATCAAACTGTAAAACGACAAAACGGTCGATAGTTCGTTTACTGTTTTTGTTTTGGAGGAAATCTAAAACGATAAAACGAAATAACGGTATGTCCCGGGATTTTTAACCCTGCGCAGCGTTTACAAGAAATGTGTATTCGAAGGAGCCACCTGCGTACACTTTGTACGCAGGTACTTCCCCCACAACCTCGTCCCCAGCGTGTCAAGCAGTACGCGCCCACCACTACCTGCTCTCTCACCCTGGTATTGGATCATTTGCATGTGCAAGATTCTTGAACACGTATGCAAATGAGGAACAGTCTGGTGCCTGGATATGCGTTACACATTTCCTATCCAGGGTTAACTATTGGAAACGCGGTTGGAAATAAAGTAAGCACTGGGGACGAGGTTGCTTCCCCCACTACGCGAGACCCTATCCATGTCCAAACAACACAAAAACATGTGCCAGACCCTCTGCAGGCAGTTGCCTACGGAAGACGGATAGTGCCACTCAATGAGTGTGAATTTATTTTTTTGGTGCGTGTGAAAATATTTTTTTGTACAGCGGCCGCCACTTATTATGTGGCGGCCGCCAGATAATAAGTGGCGGCCGCCACATAAGTCGTCATAATAAGTGGCGGCCGCTGTACAAAAAACATATATTCACACTTTTTTATGTGGCGGCCGCCAGATAATAATAAGTGGCGGCCGCCACATAAAAAAGTGTGAATATATTTTTTTTGTACGTGTGAAAATATTTTTTTGTACAGCGGCCACCACTTATTATGACGACTTATGTGGCGGCCGCCACTTATTATCTGGCGGCCGCCACTTATTATCTGGCGGCCGCCACATAATAAGTGGCGGCCGTTGTACAAAAAAAGTATTTTCACACGCACCAAAAAAATATATTCACACACATTGAGTGGCACTATCCGTCTTCCGTAGTTGCCAGACAGGGGACTTAAAAGATAAATGAGTAATGTCTGCGGTTTCTGGCTATGAGGGGAGATGAGTCGGGTCACAGGTGACGAGTGACAGATATGCTTCAAGGTTGACTTGGCAGGAGGCTTGGTGGAAATAATTTTGTTACAACTCGGGTGAAGCCCGGGCTGCAAAGTTCATTGAACCAGCTGATTTGGCAAGGGTTGAATGAGGATTAGATGGAAGGTGAACGTCATTGGCCCTAATTTTTTTTTTCTTCAAAAAATTCGGTCACCTCCGTACAAAATGTACGGAGGTCACTCTGCGCAGATTAAAATATATAATAAACTACATGTGCATGAGCAAATTCCACATTGTGCCCAATTAAATTTGGGACTGTCTAATTAACGTATAGTTGGGACTGTAGCTACCGCTGGGGCGTAACATCTTCAATAAATAAACTACATCACTGCGACAGTCACACACTGTTTAACTCAAGGAACATGGTCCCCGCAACATTTCAGTGCATAATATTACCCAGAATTATACGAGGAAAGATTAGCACCTTCGCTTCTGACGTGCACCTTTCATGACGAGTCAAAGACAGCTTCAACCACGGTGTATAGTTTTAGAAGACCTGTGTGTTTAGTGCTTACCAATGTGTCTCGGACACTCCACTGCAATGATCGTTCACTGTCCATACACTGATGTGATAATTCCCTACCAGTAGGCCTACGTACCAACATTCAATATTGAAATTAAAAGAGTTGTAGAAAGGTCAGGTAGTACTCCATTTTGTTTTAATCCGCAGTGACGTGACCTACATGACCTTACAATCACATGAAATGCAAACAGTGCCACATTTCAGCTCGTTTATGTTCAAAGTCCTTGACACTACAGATCCACTGAGTGATGATCAAGCGCCAGCTAAATGCATGCAGAGTCCAGGCGCAGATCCAGGGGGAGGGGGATTGGGGGTCGGCGAGTTACTGCTCTCGCTGGAGGGCGCCACACCCACTTCTCAACTCATTAAGGGTTCAAAGTCCAGTTAGTGATGAACAAGCGCCAGGAATTAGCTGAGGCCATTATGGATCACGCACAACCAAAATCCTCCGAAGGTCACTAGTTATTAAAATATTTGCATAATAAAAATGGCGCCCTCTACTGATCAGGATTGGAAAACCGTGTACATTTTCAGTGAGAATAGACTGCTTGTTGCTGTTGCTTGCTAATGAGAGACTCTACAGTGATAAGATTCGAATAAGGGGAATTTAGGATGACTGTTAATGCCCCAAAACGACAGTTAAGCTGTTTAAATAAGTAATATCAAATTTCACTTGCAACTGAAATTCAGTCACCTTTCACCAAGCCTCAGTTCAAATATTCCCTCCTTTTGTTCTTATTTTCATTTAGTTTATTGCCCTTATTTTGAACTTCCAATATAAACAGCCAATCGCAAAAAAAAACATCGTAAAAGAAATACAAATTTAATAGTAATATTAAAAAGGGCAATTTATGTTAAACCCGCTAATCAGGGTCTCGTGATTTTGTCCTCTTTCCAAAATTCAACTTGTTCCGTCAGATATCGTTGGGGCTGATGTCGATGCCTGGTTCCACCCGTCTCAGTAGGGGTAGGAGGAGCATTTGTACAGCACAGATGAAGCACACTGCACTACCCACGTAGAAAACTGTCTGATAGCTATCACCGGTTAGGTCCAGAATCCATCCTACGAAGGTTGAAATAAAGATCATTATTTATACTTGTAAGGGTCGGGCAAAATCCCACATTTTCAGACAGCTTGAATTCAAGAACTCGAACTCACCCGCTAAAAGGGGCCCACTTATTGCTCCTATGCCCAAGAAGATCTGGCTGAATCCAAGTCCAACTGCTAATTTTCTTACCCCGACAAACTGCCGGGTTAAAACGATCATGATGGCGAAAAAGAACCCCGACACGAATCCAAATAGAAACGAAGCTATCGCAAAAACGTAATAGCTTTCCAATTTCAGGAGCAGTAAGGACACGCCCGCAATTAGCATGGAGATGGCGGTCACGTGCTCAGCCGATATCCTCCAGCTCACCAGCAATCCGCTTCCAAGACGACCGAGCAAGTTCCCGATGCCAAAAATACTGAGCAAGATGACGGCGCTAGAGGGCGCCACACCCACGCTCTGTGCGCGGGGAACGAGGTAGACCGCGAATCCCAGGTACGGGATGTCGAACTCCAGGTAAACGGCGCACAGCAGAACGAAGCGGTAGCTTTTCACAAACAGATGGAACCCCAGCGAAACTAATAATCTTTTGAGTAGTTTTAAAATGGGATTCGAGTTCTTGGTGTCAAATGTGAGCGAGACATAACCAGTTTTGCTGTTGGCAGTTGTCCCATGTTCCGTAGGTAGGCCTATCTGTTCAAGTTCGAGTACATCGTCACTACGGCGAGAGTTTTCGTCGTTAATGTGTTCATCATTGGACATGTTGGCTGTCTCCGAACCGTTTTTGGCCGCCGGGTTTTGTTGATTCGAATTGAGATTGTCTTTGGATTTCTGTGTTGCTCCGTTGGGGCGAAATAGTGCGCAAAATGCAACACTGTTTGCTGCAACTGCAGAGGCGATCAGAAGCGTTCCTCTCCATCCAAAGCTTTCCAAAAGAAATTGGAGAAGAGGCGGAGCCGCCATGATGCCCGTTCCTTCGCCTGAGATGGCTAATGCATGGGCTATTTTGTATTTCCTTTTGAAGTACATCGCAACGACAACCACAGCTGAATTAGAAGAAATCCCTGTTCCTGCTCCTATATGAAAATGAAAAAAAAGGGAAAAGAAATAACAACAACACAAATATAAATTTGCAAAATGAGAAAACAAAACACTTTCACGAAGATCGTGATTTCATGCAACAATGCATTCACAACAAGTTTGCTCAAATTAATTAAGTGGCACACGCATTAACGCACGCATTCGTCTGTCCCCAACGCCCAGTACAAGAGTGTGAGATCTCTCATTTAATCAGCACTCATCTGATATATTTTTGAAATCTTGATGGCGATTTATGTCTGTTTTCTTTTCAAACTTTTTGTTCATTCATGGAGGTGGGAAAAAGTCCATGTTTCGCGTTGTATTTAACAGGTATTTGTCAGTTTAACTGTAAATGACTAATGGTGGACAGCTGAATCGTGTGATCTTTTTTCTTTATTAAAATAGACATAACTTGGAAATATACTTTATCCCTTTGCTATTTAATATTAATTCCAATTCGGTATTTTTTTCTAAGAAATCAGAGGTCGCGCTTCCATATTCAAATGAGGCAAAGGAAATTGAATTACCGATTATGGAAAAAGTGAAGTACAGTTGATAAAAATCAGTCACCCAGTAGCTACTGAGCAAACCTAGCGTCATCAAAATTCCCCCGGCCATTCCTGAAATTCTGCAGCCGAAACGTTCCGTCAGAATCCCTCCGAGGAAAACTGAAAGAGTTTTAAAAGAGCACCAAAAAAATTAATTAATAAATAAGCACTAATAATAGTAATACTTATCATTATTAGGGGGGAAATGTGACAGCGCCAAAAAAAAAAAAGAATCGATCAAAAGAAAAAATCAGAAAAATGCCATGAAGTTGTCAAAGGAAGGGTGTGGTTTGGAATTAGAACTACGTCAGAACATGCATGGCCACTATGACTGAACTGCCCATGTCGACACAGAAAAATAAAAGAGCAAGAGAAAAAAATTTAATTTGAATTTATTGAATTGAAAATAGAGCGATGCAATTGCACAAGAGATAGCATTTCATGACACCAATGGGGGTAGGAGCTAACATGATCGAGTTCATCGATAAATATACATATAGCATACAAACACCTTTAATTGATGAAATAGCTCTTTCAGAATTTTGATGCATATACATGTACATTTCAAATATGGTATCTTTAGCATAAGTATTTATGTTAGTGGGGCAGATAGGGGAAATATTTGGGCGAATTGTGCCTTTGCTGGTACAATCATGGCATTAGGCACACAGTCAGAGTATGTGTTACGAAAGATATTTGGCTATAGGACCGTGGTAGATTTGTCCTTTGAATTAAGAATAACAAGCAATTTTCAAAATTGTATAAAATGGCTGCCATTGCTTGTTATTCTACCTGCATTTTTTAACAGGACAAATCTGCGATAGCCCGATAGCTAAATATCTTTCTTGTGACATACTCTGACTCTGTGCCAAATGCATGATTGTATTATCAAAGGCACATTCCCATTACCTATCTGCCGTACTCTCCAGGCCTACAACAGAGTAAGGAATACTGTACCACTGAAACAGGACACGGAAGAAAAGACGCTCTGAACGGCCGCCGTCTCTCTGTCGTTGGTGCCAAAATCGTCCTGCCAGCTAAGATACAAGACGCCTGGGCTCCGCATCATGCCCAACTGGATTGCGAAGGACAGGTGAGCGGCGATGACCACCACTATACCCCAGCCGCCTTCCCGTGGCTCATCGGGCTCAGCCTCCGCTGCACGCCTGGTCCGCAAAGTGGACGTCTTTGCCATATTCCCAGTTTAGGCCGTTGGCGGTTGAGGAAACGTTTACTAAAATTCGTTTGCAGAGTTCAAAAAGATCTAATATGCAGTGCTTGCTTTGAAACAGTGCAGTGGATCTGAATCATCGGCAGCAATATATATATTTCGAATTCAGCATACGCCTCTTTCTAAGCGAGTTTAACTATGAGCAGAATCCACGCCGTAAAATTGAAGGCTCTTGCAATCAATATCTTTTTATTAGTACTTTGTTAAGCACAGGCTCCTCCGAATACGACCTTTAGTATTTACAAAACTTTGAACTTTGAACTGTTATGCAGCGGGAACAACGCTCGCCAAACATCTCTATTTGCCCCAGTCGCTTGAGACTGAAGTTTTGTTTATTTGCAGACATTTTGGTCGTTCTCGCCACACTATCCAAGGTGGCTGGTAAAATTTAATTTCTTTTGAGCTCTGATTTGATCAACCTAGTTCCCAGCGTGTCGGGCGCCTGGGCTCTGCATAAGACCCAAGAAAATGAAAACCCAGCGAGACTGCTAATCTCCTGAGTAATACCAGAACGGAATTCTTGGTGTCCAATGTGAGCGAGATATAAACCCGTGTTGCTGTTGGGAGTTTTCTGGGCTTCTGCGGGTGGGCCAATTGTTTCAAGATGTCCGTCACTACGGCGAGAGTTGTCGTCGCTATTTTGGCCATCATCTGACATTTCTCCTTTTTGCCGGTTTTTGGAGTACAGATAAGGTGTAGTTCGAATCGATCAATGGCATGGCGTACATTTTATATGGTTATATATTTATTTATTGAAACCGATACTGTGTTTAATTCAACATTAAAAACATTTACAATTGTTTCTACATTTGTGTTATTACTGGAGTAAAATATGTTGGTGTCGTCAGCAAAAAAGTATAAAAGAAAGGCAGCGGCGTAGCCAGGGTTCTCATCGGGAGGGGGGCTGGACCATCTTCCCATGGGGGACCTGTTCACAACCCGGTTCATGGTAATAACTACCGCTACTTGCTTACCGACGTTAAAATACACAGCCACTCGCGAAAAGACAGGGTTTTGGTGAAAAAAATACTATTATGTCTTACCTGGATCATCGGAGAATATAGACGGATAAATGAAGAAACTTGTGAAACAGAATCCGGGTCCAAATAATTTATTGACTAAACTAAACTCACATTTCGAATAATTAAGTATATGGATGACGAAGTAACAAGATGGGCGCTGTCGTCGGCTTCCTCAGACCAACTGCGCCGAGCATGGCAACGTTGCCCGTATATAAAGGCATTATTACGTAAGATAGAGGTTAATCCACCAAAAGATTAAGTAAGCTCACAGAGCTTTCAGCTGAGTTTGGGAAATTCTATAAATGCTTCACAACAATACGCACAAAATTGCGGAAAAAGGGACATTATGTTCTTCCAGCTAATCATGGTAACTCATACGGCTGTGCTTTTCTCAGGATGCCGAATTTCCAGGTTCAAGAACGTTTTAAAATTAGAAAAGAAAAAGAGGCGCTAAGTCATAGTGGTGTAAATTTGATGGGTGGGGGGGGGGGCAAAATGTCCCTGCCTCCTCTAAAACTGATAAATCGAGAATATGTTGAGGAGTACAGGATTTGGGGGGAAAATGTGTTTTGCCCCCCTTTAGAAAAAAATCCTGGCGACGCCCATGGTTTCAACTGATAAACAATGTAATATTAAACAACCTGTAAACGTGAGTGCAAATGATATTTTTAACTATGCCGAAAAAAGACCTCTAGCACTTACAAAACTTTGAACTTGGAACCGTTATAAGCAGCGAGGACAATGTTCGTCAGATATCTCGACTTGCCCCAGTAACTGGCGACTGACCTTATTTGCAGAAATTCGGCAGGTGCACCATACCATCCAATGGCGATTATGGTGCACTCTTATTTCTTTGAGCTCTAAGTGGTTAAATTTTGTTTAACCTTTGAACTGTGTCAACACCTTAACGTGCGGACAGAATCAAAGTGGTGAGCTCTACTCACAATGCTTTGCGAAGTCTGCGTTTTTCAAGAAAGCGACGGCGCCATTGACGAATTTCAAATTGGCACTGAAACCGAGGGCCCCGGCCCCCGAAGAAGAGTGACGTTTTTTGTTGTTGAGAAGATTTAAAAAGAAAAAGTCCTTATTGTGGCTTTGCACCGATTACCTCGGTTTCAATTTCTTTTTGAAATTCGTCTATATTTGGATTGAACAGTACGTGGTCACCATATATAAGCATCGCAGCAGAATATCCACGGAGAGTTATTGCTAAATTGGGGCCGTTCATAGTTGGGCTTGTTTTCCCTCGCTTGACGATCTGTAACACCAAACATATATATCGAGATTCCGTCCAATACCAGAAAATGGGTTGCATAATATAAGTGTACACGAGCTTTATTGAAGTATTTTATTCAGCACGTTTTTGTCACGTAACAATAATCCAAGTCCGCTGCAAAGTTCACAACTGATATGGAGATAACAGTCATTTGTAGCTGAAGGTTGGCCGTGTTTGCATTCCAAGTGATTGTAACTTGCAGGTCACGTCACTGATAATGAAAAACCCGAATAACAGGCCTTTCTACAGGTGTTTTACATTTTAATGTTAAATGTCAGCGAATTCGAGCTCAGCATATCGACAGTAAAAGCTCAATGTAGCAGATAGTCTGAGACGCATCGGTAAGTAATACTTACCTTATGCAGCACTAAACGTAGGCCTTCTTATTCTGGGAATGTTCTGCACACATTAGAAGCGCGGGGTCTCTCCTCATGGTAGCCTGGATATAATCGTTTAAAGGTTATGTGGACGTATTCCTTTATTTAAAAGGCCCATGCTATGTACGTTTTGAAATGTCATCCTTGAAAATGCACATTTGTGTCCCATTAAATCATATTTTCGTTTTGCCGTTTTCCAGGGCATTTCGGTGCTTTCTTTTGTTTTTATGCTGCGAATTTCCATTTTTATGTGCAAAACTGTGATGTCATTCCGGGCAGAAACCTCACCGTTACAGCTATTTGGACACAAAATATTGCTAGAATTTTGGATATTTTGCTGTCATATATTTTCTTTTCTTTGGTGATTTGTTGCGTCAATACATGGTACATGTAGTAAGCCAATGAGCAAAGCTGTCTCAGAAATGTTTCCAATGAACAAATGTTGGGTTCGCAATTCGAACAGAAAACTCCTCAACTGAGAAGTATCTTCTTAAAATGACATCACAGCAACAGCGCCCTCAGTTGTCTGGAAAAGCATGGAACATTTTAAATGTTTAAATGCACCTTTCAATAAAATTAACGAAAAAGGGATGTGTCAAATAGTTTTCATACATTCAAGAGGAGTGGAAAGTTGCACAAAATATGTTCGCAAGAAAAGTCATCGCATGGCCCTATTTGGCATGGCCCTATTAAGGTGTTACGCCCAAACTATAGCAATATCCCCACTAAAGTTGGGACAATCTCAATTTTGGTTTGGTAAGTTATCTTTGGTCGTAACTATAGTAGGGATCTACCCAACTGTTGTTCTAACAGTTGTCACGACATCGCGATGCTATAGTAACAATACATTATCTGGCTAATGCTCTGGGATCATGCATACATTACTGCTTATAGTTTCACTGTCACTGGACTGTTACAAACACTTTATACAATTACATTGATTTACACACTCTGCATTCGAACTTTTAGAATCCCTTTTCCCGGAGCGTGTAGAATATAGAAACATGGATGACTTTTGTAAGTACTTGGGTTCGTTTTTTGGGCGGAGGACCGTGCTTTATACCAAAACGCAGTTAAACACTGCAGTTGTTTGCAAGAGCCTTGTGTCATACACAGCGTGTGACCGGCTCATTTAGTTTAAAAATGATGCATTTCAAGACATGGGTCTGTGCTTGGTAATTTACATTGCTGCAGATGTATCAATATCACTGAAGTTTCAACGGAAATACTTTTTGACGAATCACATTGATTTATCGTAAATACAGAAATACCCCCCAAAAAGGAACCACCAGAAGGCCTGTAGAATAATGGCAAAGGCCTCCACCTTGCGGACCAGGCATGGAGCGGAGGCTGAGCCCGGTGACTCACGGGAAGGCGGCTGGGGTGTAGTGGTGGTCATCGCCGCTCACATGTCAATGGCGATCCAGGTTGGACTCCTTCGGAGCTGGGGCGTTGTATACCTGAGCTGGAAGGAAGATTTCGAGACCAACGACAAAGAGACGTCGGCCGTTCAGAGCATTATGTCTTCTGTGATGAGTTTCAGTGGTAATTAGTTTTCAGTCTGCAATTTGTGTTGATCCAAGAGGGGCCAGTCTTTAATTGTTCCTATCACACTCTCTGACTGACTGACTGGCAATAACTTGTGGGCCGGGGAGTGCTATCATATAGGATTACCCCGACTGGCTAAATGAATGGGCTTGATCTGGCACATGAATCTGATCCACTTGCTTACAAAAAATCTGGTGAATAGCCATTTTGAATCAGGCATAAGCTCTAGAACCAGCTGGTGTTGTTTAAAAAGAACATGTGTCACCGACGCTAAAAAAAAAAATCCTGACAGTAAACATCCCCGCGATGGCAAGAAACTTTTTTTTTCTGATTCGAGGAGATTTCTTTGCATGTTTGGATCCAATAAATCTGTACATAAAACTTCAAAACGGCATTGGTATGAGTCATATTTGTAGACCCTCACGCTGATATTTATATTGACCTGGGCTTTCGCAATGTTCTTTTCACCGAGCTATGAGTAGCATGGTTCTTAGGAGGGCTCAACTTCAGGGATGTAGTATAGAGTCCATCAACTTGTCACTGCACGTCCGTCACAAGTCCTTACTCCCTATTCAAAATGAGCATTGACAGCGGCATTCCTTTGTTATGGATCATCCACATTTTCTTGTGTACGGACTTGTGACTGGACTTGTGACTGGACGACAGGACTTGTGACTGGACTTGTGACTGGACTTGTGACTGGACTTGTGACTGGGACTTGTGACTGGACTTGTGACTGGACTTGTGACTAGGACTTGTGACTGGACTTGTGATAGACTGGACTACATCCCTCCTCAGTTGTTCTATACATGCATTTCCAAAACTTTGATTTGTTTAAAAAGGTTTCTTTTCCCCCCTTTAAAGGTCTCCCTGCCGGGGTTCTGACGCAACGTTTCGGCTGCAGAATCACAGGGATGATTGGGGGAGGCCTGTCGTCCATTGGCCTTCTTTGCAGCTGTTGGGTGACCGACATACACCAGTTTTACATCACAGCTTTCTTCACCGGTAAGTGATCCTATTTTTGAACGCTTTAACGACGCTAGTTTCTAGGTACAAACTGTAGAAGCATTGAGTTTATCGCAGAAAAGTGGTTTCTTAACTTCACTGAAAAGTGAGTCTTGATATATTTGCATATCAAAATGACAATTTCTCGGATAAAAATGACACTTTCCGGGTCAAAATGACACTTGTTTGTGTGTCGAAATGACATTTTTCAGGCTAAAACTAACACTTCTCTGGATCATTTTTTTTTCCGGTTCATTTTAAATCTAGAGTGTATTGCCTATTAAATAATGTAGACCGCAGGTGTAATTACGTCACTGTAATTACCGCATTTTAGCCGAAGACCAAGTTCGAGCGAGGACTAATGTTAACCACGGTGGACGAATTTCACTCGAACGCAGGATTGCTGGACTACTTCAGTCGATTACTTCAGCGGGGCTCGGTTCCATCGCTGGTTACCGACAGCTGCGCACATCATAATACCCAACCGGGAGCCAGGATCAAGAGGTTTCGTGATGAAGCCCCGGTGTACGTGCGCAGGCGTAAGTTAGGTCACGAATACACCACTGGTCGACTGTATTGGTCCTTGCCCGAACGTGCTTCAGTGTATACGACGTATAGCCCCGTCGCAATCATGATTTCCTGATTGTTCATAATGTTCTTTCAGTATTTTGGTATAGGCTTTAACTGATCATTTTTCATAGTGTGGTTGTTTCTAATTTCTGCAGGAGTTGGCATTGGGATTTGCTATAATTCGACCATAGTCGTGGTTGCGTTGTACTTCAAAAGGAAATACAAAATAGCTAACGCAGTGGCCTGTTCCGGTCTGGGGACGGGAATCATGGCTGTGCCGCCTATTGTTCAACTTCTCCTGGAAAGCTACGGTTGGCGAGGAGCGTTCCTGGTCGCCTCTGCGATTGCGGCAAACAGCATCGCACTAAGCGCATGTTACCGCCCTAATCACTACATGAACAATAACAAAAAGTCTTGTCGTGAACATGACGGGCTCGAACATGAACCTACGCGTGAAGTAAACAAAGGAATTCATAACAACAAAACCGATTTTGTCACACTCAACCCCAAGAGCTCAAATTCCATTGTAAAATACATCCATAGATTGTCAGTTACACTGGGGTTTCAACTTTTTCTTAAGAGCTATCGCCTCACTCTCCAGAGCGCGATTCAACTACAATACTGCTTGGTGTATGTAGGGTTCGTGCTCTACCTCGTTCCCAGGGCACAGAGCGTGGGTGTGGCGCCCTCCACCGCCGCCATGTTGCTCAGTATTTTTGGCATCGGGAGCTTGCTCGGTCGTCTTGGAGGCGGATTGCTGGTGAGCTGGAGGATATCGGCCGAGCACGTGTCCACCATCTCCTTGGTTCTGGCCGGAATGTCCGTATTGCTTCTGAACTTCGAAAGCTATTACATTTTCGCAATCGCTGCTTTTCTGCATGGATTTGCGTCAGGGGTCTTTTTCTCCATCGTAGTCGTTTTATCCCGGAGCTTTATCGGCGTAAGGAAATTAGCCATTGGAGTTGGAATCAGCCAGATTTGGGTTGGAATTGGTAGTGTTACCGGGCCTATTTTAGCGGGTAAGTTTTTTTTTTTTTAACTTTCTGTCGTCAGTTTTTAGCATGCCAATCCCTATTCTTTTAAGATGGAATTTTTGCGTCGGGGTGATATAAATCAAATTAGGTTTTGCCCTTCACCGACGTTTAAACACAGTATACTCAGTGTGTTACCTCCCGTGTGAAAGTTGGAAAAAATCCTTGTTCTTATTATTGAAATTTAAAATAATTAGTTATCTTCAGTGCATGGCTTTAATTGGACAAACAAGTGTCATGTGAAATTCGGACTCCTTTGAAATCTGATCCATTTGGTATCAAATTCTCACCCGTGACGTCACTGTCCTAAGTATCTTCACTTTAGGCAAGCGCAATACACAACCAACTAGTTCGTATTTCATAGAGTCCAAGTTTCACACTACACAGGAATATTTCTCATGATGACCTCATGATGACCTCATAATCAGAGAGCGCACAGAGGTTTTCACAAACGGGTTTCGGGCACACAACGAAAAACAAAGCCCACACCTTCGGGCCTTTTTATGCTTACTTTTTAAACATTCCTATAGCTCTGACGTGTCCAGGGTCTGATTATTTTTACTGGGGTCAGAGGGGCCAGCCTACGGTCCTCGTTGCACCTGTCACGTTGAAAGACTGACTCCCTGACTGACTGACTGACTCCCCAACTGACCTTCACTGACCCACTGTCGCTTGTAACTTTTACGGCCTGGTTGTTGTAAAGATCGCCGGAGCACTGCCCTGCAATGGGCAATATAGCCCATTGTGTAAAACGGATGCATTGAAAAGACCAATGATAGCCATTTTGAATCAAAAGAATGCAATCTACTAGGATTGGCTAGTCTTTTTTATTTATACATTTGTAATTTCAAACAGGATGGATCCTGGACACGACTGGTGAAAGTTACCAGACCTTCTTCTACGTGGCTGGCGCGATCTGCTTCATCTGTGCTGTACAAATGTTCTTCTTACCCCTACTGAGACGGGTGGAACCAGGCATTGACATCCTCCCTACCGATGCTTGAAGGAACATGCAAGGTCTACGATGTTAATCTTGAACAATTGCATTAAAGGGAAAATACAACATTTGCAAACATCAAAAAATAAAACTACCAAATCATTTTGAAATACCTTGCTGGACTGTTAGTGAATGACAGTGTAAAGCATCCTGTAAAATCATGGCACCTGGTATACTGTCATTTTCAAGAAAAGTGGTATTTTTGTATCAATTTCCAACGTTGGAAACAAACTGGCTTTTTTTCTCTCAAAAACTGGCCCCAATTGACCATCGCACTTGTTTGCAATCGATTACACACCTATGAACGGGTACAAGCCAGCTAGACTGGTTCCCTGACCTTACAAAATGAAATGTTTGCAGATCTTCATTGTTTCATTTGTTTTTCAGATATTTATAATTTTTATGCTGAGAGGCAAGGAAATTTTTTCCCAGATCATGCTGACTATTTTAGTGACTTTTCTGGTCATTATGTATGGAGCAGGCGTAAAAACGTTTTGAATAAATATTGATATTACAATTATCAAAAACTTTATTTCGTTAGCTGTTTATTCATAAATTGTAAATGAGTATCCATTAGTACCAATGCATTTAGTAACTTCCTGAAAAAATGAAAACAATGTCTAAGCTATTTTCAATTAGGTCTTTGCACCATTCTCCAGTTAAAAGGTTCATTACACCTGTTTTTTCCGCGCTTGTTTTTGATGGGAGATTTATTTGAAACTTAATGTCTTTGAATGAATTTTCACTTGAGTTACAATTTTTTTTATAGTTAGCATGGAATTATGTGGATTTATTCGCATTATTGTAATTACGGGAAATGGTACCTTTGAGAGACAATCCCATAGATTTGTCCGAACTTTAATGACACTTAATCATAACCTAAACTTGGTAAATTTGGGTTGTGGCACAGTCGCGGAGCAGGGTTTCCCTTTAACGTAATAATATAGTGCATACCGCCTTCCTACGATGCGAAACAGTTTGACCGTCAAAACTGTTTGATTGCAATTTTCATGCCAAACCACAACCGATCCACACAAACAAAGCTGTTTTAGGTAGTTACATACATCTATTTGGGTATTTTTTCGCAAAAAAGAGATTTCGATGCATTTTGACAATATTATTTCACGGACAAATCGACTAAAAATTACGTGATGAAATTTCCGGTTGTTTTTTTCTACAACGACGAAAGTCTCCCGAATGTTGAGGTAATCAAAGGAAAGAATGAGCCTTCGTCTACAAAAAAATCTCGTGAACGTGATGTCGTTGATATTTCAAGAATTCGATTTACACCTTATGTTTCCAACAACTTCCATTTTTCACAACGCGAAAAGATCGTCGCCATCGTAAAAGCACAGAGCGAGGAACCCAGACACTGTATGACCTTGTGACCCATATGCCCACTGATTGGTCGAGCTCGAGATGGCCTGCTTAATATTCATAATTTATTCACATTTTTTTTCAGGCCCATACGTTAATTTACACGCGTACATGTGATTGCAAATCATGAAATCTCGCAAACGTCTTCATTTTTCAACTGGCGATTTGGACCACAAATATAAAAGTCTCCTGCACGTATTTCATATGAAAATGAAGCGTAGACTATCAACTATCTAATGAATCTTTCCATTTCTTTCGGCCTTTTTTTTTAAGAATCGAATGTACACCTAAAATCTATCGGCCCTCACTTTTGTTGCTATAAGTATGATTTTTGTTTGACACGTCGTAACAACTCTTTATTTTTGTCGAAAGCAGTTATGTAGTATCAAAATGAAGCACATAATTGCAACTGTTCACTAACCTAGCCATCTTGGCCAAACAGTGCATGTATCCAGGCACTTTTCGTGTTTTTCTATAGTCTCGAATGCAGTCTCGTAAAATCTCGCGTAGGCTTTTGGGTCATATGCGTGCGTGACCTCGTGACAAGAAACTGAGGTCAAACAGGGCTCTGTGCGTGACATGGCCGCTGAGCTCCACGGTATCGTCCCCTGGTGTTTATATAACACGAGATATCAAGCGTGTCATTTTTATGAACGTGTTTATTCACTATAATAATGGACAGTGCTAGATGTGCCATGACATTTGTATAATACAACCACAACAACTGTAGTCCTCAGTGCGCAGTTTGCTACTCTGGCTTCAAGACCGGCCTACACCGTGTACGCAATCCGTGTTGAAGCTAGTTGACTTGTTTTGAGTTTTGGTGAGCTCATGCTTCGTGAGCCAGGTGTCCGTAAATTGGGCTTAAACTTAGGCCTAACGTGAGGGACTTGAACAAGTTGAAAGAAGTGCCTCCCCCCAATAAGGCATTATGGCTGTTTATAATACGTCCACGTCAACAGTTGTCTTACAGGAAAATGTGGGGATAACATTTCCTTGAACTTGTTCAAGTCCAGTGGGCAACCCTAATTTGCCTATTATTACACCCCAATTTACGGACACCTCATTCTCCCTTTGTAAGTTTCTGGGCTAAATTTCATAATATTTTCCTTGTCCATATGATTTTCTATAGCCTATATATTTATCAGGGTAGATGTGACAGTATGCGTCTTTGTGAATTTGAAGCTCATCAATACTGAGTTTTGGCAAGACTGCCTGACGATATCTGTGGAAAAGGTGAGTGCATGCGGGCCATACAATGGTAGCCATTTTGAATCTATCACAATTATCCAGTCACTTATGCTTCTGAAAATGTTATTTAAGTAAGGATAAGTATGTAGAATCCCCAAAATAGACCCTTTTTTTTTTAAATGTCATCCCAAAATATGGGAATAAATATGTTACTATATACGGCAGCTATTAATTTATGCAAATTAGGTACCCTACTAAAATGAATTTCAGAAATCACCCCTTCTAAATATCTTGGGCTAAGAATCTATCTGCTAAGTTTGGTGCTTTGGACCAATCAGTCACGATCTTGTGACCTGAACCTGAACCTGAAACCTGAACCTTGTCAGAATTAAAGTACCCGCTATATTAGTCTATAGCGTTAAAAGCAATGGACATAATGCACAGTTTATCAAACACACTAAATCTAAGGTTTATTGATTTGTATTGTTAAGAACAAATAAACCAAAGTTTCTTTAACCATGACACTTTGTTTAATGCTTCTCATCTGTTGGGATGAACTACACGTTAATTTTCATTTGGAAACACAATTGAATATTTTCATCTCCGTTAATAGTATCTATTTTTAGGCCTTATCGTTCGAAGGTCACATTATCTGAAATAGCCTTTGGCTGACAGCAAGGACTAAAATATCTCCAAGTATATACACAAATACAATCTAATCTTGTGTTCGAGTGGTTATACGTGCAGCCGATACTTCTAAATTAAGGTTAAATGCATTATCACAAGCCTGTGCCTTTTTGAGTGACGAAGCTATACGGCAAGCAATCATCCGTGGAAGAAAAGCGTTCTTTCTCCTCGTAGCGGCACCAATTAGGCCTAAGGTAATATTCTGTAACTTATAACTAGTATCGGATTTGCCTAATTTCTCGAAGGAAACTAAAGCCCAAGTCACACTTTCACGGTTTGGAGCTCCACGGTTTAAAATTCGTGATAAACCGTGGGAGTACCGTATTCATCCTTAGTACATCCGTGGTTATCCGTCATCTTCCTTCGGTATTCGTGGGGAGGGGGGGGGGGGGGCTACGGAAGTTTTAAACTGTTCCAAACTTCCGTGGTGAATCGTCATGAAATCAATTCATAGTGCAACCGTGGGACATCCGTAGGACAACCGTACTAATTCGTAGTGTTATTCGTGGCTATTCGTACATAGTCGCGAAGATTCGTAGCTCAATCGTGGTATAAATCTCTAAGAATGACCTACGGATATGCCCGGATGTGCTAAGGGTTCTGCTAAGATTGTACTATACGAATATCCACGCTTTATTCGTAGGAGAACCTTGGTCATCCGTGACCCAATCGCAGACAACGGTGGCGTTAACGTCATTATTCTTAGTAATACTGTCGATATTCTTCAACAATCCGTCCATGTTCTTGACAAACCGCGGTGTACTCCTAGAAAACCCTTAGGAAAGTCGTGGCTATATATATCCGTCCTGAAACCTTAGTTAATTTGCAGAAAGTCGATTCCACGAATCTCGACGGTTCACCGTGAGCGATTGATTCTTGCATGGTATAGTCGTAGCTCCAACCGTGAATGTGTGACTGGGGCTTTTACATGTAGCCTAGCTACGATAGTTCTACTCTGCTTGATCACTAAGCTAGCGAGACTTGCACGTGTGTCAACGGGATGGCAACTTAAATTTCTAACTGAACATATCAACAGAGCTGAGTAAAGGAGGCTGACGGACTAAAAATTGTGTTGCTCAGCTACATGGGAAAGGAGTCTCTGCAAATAAGGAACGTGTGTGAATCTGATAAGTATAGGAAGAACCCTAAATAGGGTCAAATAGGTGCTAATATAGATGCTGACATAAGTGCTAAAACGTCCCCTCAGAATAACTAGAAAGTTAATTGATAGCTTAATACATTTGGTTAATGCATTTTTTTTGCAGTGACCAGATTTACAATCTCTAAGAGGTGGACATTAACTAAGTATTGTTTTACGATTGTGAAGAAGCCAAACAAAAAAATTCATAATTTGTGTTATTGTTTAACAGAATTTTATATTGTAGCACAAACGCTTACATTTTGTCATGGCCAGTTTACAGAACATGAAACAGTCGCCAGGTAAAACGCGCCGCGGAGGGCGCTACACAAAGGTAACCTCTGACCCTCCAGAAGGTGGTTGGGGCATCGTGGTGGTCGTCGCCTCCCATCTGATCATGGCGTTAGTGCTCGGACTCATCCGGTGTAGCGGGGTCTTCTACCAGAGCTGGAAGAACGAGTTTAACACCGGCGCCAAGGAAACGGCCGCTGTCCAAAGCATCACGGCCTCCTTGTCCTCCTTCAGTGGTAATGGAACTTCCATGTCTGTCAATCACACAGAGCGCATTGACCAATTAGATCAGACCTTTTCACCAGGTGACCACAGTGACGGTATCTCAGTGAATCACGGTCATGGGGAATGTGAGAAATGTACGCAACCAAAAGTAGGCGGGGCTTAGACCAAATCACGGAACGATCCATTAACCCCATGCGTACGGGAAGCGGTCATGGCCGCGGCCGCTAATCCTCATTGGAATGCAGTTGCCAGCTGTGGTATGCCGTGGCACACGGCTAGTGGGTAGTTCCACAGCTGCTGCTTTTGTGCAGTCCCGCTATCACACAAAGGCTGTGCAGTCATGCGGGCCACTTGCTCTATGTGCGGAGGAATGTCCCCATTACACCCCGTCCTTAAGGGGTTAACAGGATGGATGCACATTTGGAGGAGCTATTTCCAGACTTAAATAGAATTAAGCCATCAGAATTCATCACAATGTATCACAACTTACCACAAGTTATTCAAATGGACCTTGACAAAGGCGTGTGATTGCCTTTGTTCCTACCTATTTACGGTTTACTCATGCTTGAATCGCGACTGAATGCGGCTATAAAGCTTGACTCATGCTGACGAAGGCCTTTGATTCATAATTTTAGCACCCGTTCCGTTTCATTTTGCTTCTAGTTGTGAAAATGACAGTACCAAGACCAGCCGCAATTAACAATTCAGAACGATGTTCTTCCTATGTTTGTGGTTCTTAACAACTACAAAATAACACATTGGGCGACAGGTTTGCTAATCCCGTCTGCGTTAGGGCTACAGGCCTTATTGGGGTGACAAATTGGTGTCGCTCTCATGTTAAAAGGACCCTAAGAACAAGAAGTTATAATGTCGCAAACCATCTCGATCGATTCCTTGTGGTACAAAACGTACCGATACCGAAATTCGTGGAGGCAGAATAAGGTAAACTTGGGTTAGGTGACAGTTTAGGTTTGTGAACAAGTCTATGGCAAAGTCGTCCTATTATGGCATTAGTAATAATTATAACAAATAATTAAGATATTCAAAACTTTACGTTTATATAAGAAAATACTTATAAGTTTTTCATGCTCCTTAAAATAGCCTGATAATTGGGGAAAACTGCATCACGATTATTGATTTAGACACTGTGATTTCACCTATCGTTGCTCTTTCAGGCATTATCGGCGGTATCCTGACCAAGCGATACAGCTGCAGGTTTTCTGGAATGCTTGGCGGGGTTTTAGCGTCTTGTGGCCTGTTCGTAAGCTGCTGGGTGGCCAACATATACCAGCTGTACGTCACTGCCGCAATCACAGGTATTTCATTAATTTAAAAAGTGCCGATGAAAAAAAAACACAGTTCGCTAATTGACATGTTTTCAACGTATTCAACGTACGCAAAAGCATAAAAAGTGCCGATGACAAAAGTAACAGTTTACTACATGCATTCAACGTATTCAACATGCGCTGAAACATTCGTGGCATTAAGTGCAGTGGTAAAGCATGGGAAACAAATATCTTAGGCAAATTTCTCAAGTATTGGTGTTTTTTTTTTGCGTTGAAAGGCTGCGAACATGAAAAAGCATGATCAACATGAGTGACCTCGCACGCACGTCCAAAACGGGTGCAGACACTACATAGGGGTGGGGAATACTGCTTGTGCTCCTTGCTTCAGATGCTATGTTTTTGCGTATGTTCCATAAATTAGAATCTATCAGAGAACTGGTCTATAGCTATCCTTAGTTTGGAAACATTACGAGAATGGGGGAGGATATTCTTTGACCAAAGAGGAGGTAGAATGTATGATTATACTACCAGAAGTTTGTACGAAAACTGCCAATCGAGACGATCGAGCTTCATTTTTTTGCGATTTGGTTATTACATTGGTAAAGGTGCTGGGATGGGAATTACCTACAACGCCGGTATAGTTGCAGTCGCCCTTTACTTCAAGAAAAAGTACAAGACGGCCAACGCCATTGCCTTCTCTGGTTGTGGCACGGGGATGATCGCTGCACCACCACTCTTGCAACTGCTTTCCGAGAACTTCGGTTGGAGAGGAGCTGTTTTCATCAGCTCGGCAATCATGGCGAACGGCGTTGCATTTTGTCTCCTCTTCAGACCCCTTCCGAGGAGAGTGGAACAGTCCGCAGCGGAGTCATCTGAAAGCGATGATAGGGCCGGTCCATTCGCTCAAGGGGGTGTCTTGGTTGCAAGTGACGAGGGGGATAATGTTGAAGAGGATTCAATTACAGGAGATGATCGGTGCTGTAACGCGCCTGATGAACTTCAAAATACAAGCGACGAGAATGTTCTAAGCGATATGAGTAATAACAGCGGGTATGTGCCTCCAAAAGAGGCTAAGAAATTGTGTGTGGCGGCTACCCTGCTCAAGACATACTCGGAATTGTTGGGATTAAACATATTTCTGAAGAGTTATCGTTTCGCCTTGCTGTGTCTCCTGCAGTTCCAGTTCAGCCTGCCGTATATGGGATTCGTTCAGTTCCTTATTCCCCGCGCGGAGAGCCTGGGTGTGACGCCCTCCAGCGCCGCCTTCTTGCTCAGTCTCTTCGGCATTGGTACCCTGCTCGGCCGGTTGGCCAACGGTGTGCTGATCAGCTGGAGACCAACCGCCGAGCACGTGACGGCGGCCGGCATGACCCTAGCCGGTTTGAGCATGATGCTCTTGAACGTGGACAACTATGCCGTCCTGGCAGTGGTCTCGTTCGTGAAAGGCTTCGCCATCGGCTTCCTTGTCGCCGTCATGGTCGTCCTGACTCGGCGCTACGTTGGAATGGCCAACTTCGCGCTCAGCGTGGCGATTTTTGGTATCTTCTTCGGGGCTGGGGTTCTCACTGGACCGGTCATGGCAGGTAAGTGGTGTAGATGAAAAATGCTTGAGTTGGCATTTTAAGGATTACAGCGAAAACAAAACTGATGTGGCCAATTTCCAGCAATATTTAGCAACACAGTCAGACATAGATCACAAACATCGTAACTTAGCAGTGACTAAATACTTACCAATGCATGTCCCGTCCGGGCTCTTGAAAACCCTTTTTTTAGGCCTACATATTCAACAAGCAGGCCTACTTTTTCTCTTCTTTCTTTTCGTGCGTCTGTTAAAAAAACTATTTGCGTTGCCGCCGTTCACACACAGATCAAGAGTTGCGAGTAGATTGGTTTCCATATTGTCGGGCGGAAGCATTCAGGGCAATGTATATAGTGTCCTCATGCCTTCAACAGCTTTGCGGACCATCCGCATTCTTCGCTTTAACCATGCATTGCTCTGAATGGCACACTCAGGTGGAAGGTCGATCGAGCAGCAGGACAGAGAAAATGTGAACCTCATCTGTATTTGAGATTCAAGTTCAATAAATTTTTATTTAATTCCATTCATATCCTGTTCTGTTGTTACTTATATTTCCTTCATTGTCCGTCCAGAGACCCATTGTTTCTGTTGTGTTGATAGCAAGAGGCCTATCCTGAAAATTGTGTTGGCAGTGTTGACAAAGATAGGCCCATATCCTATTCATGCATGGCTAATTATCAGTGGAAATTTAACTGACCGTGGTCAATACCTAGACCGATTGTTGGCTGAACAATAACGTTGGTATTAAACTATACCCGTTTTGGGGGGAGACAAGAACTACTGTACTCCAAAGGGACATTATTTTTGTACTCACCCTATACATTTAGGCATTGTATAAAACCAATAATGAATGTTGTCACATTCGTGCAATGGAAAGAATAATTTCAATGTTCACCTCTACTCGTTCGCTACCTCTACTCACTCACCACCTACTCGCGGAATGGAACATTCCTTCAGGTTGTCACCCCATGAAAGTATTCTTGCCATTGCACTCATAAACATTCATTATTTGTATAATTATGATGTTGTCTTCCTGCAGGTTGGTTGCTGGACGTAACTGGAAACTACCAGACCGTCTTTTATGTGCTTGCCGGTGTGTATTTCATGTGTGTTGTCCAAATATTACTGCTTCCCCTGCTGAAAAGAATCGAGCCAGGAATTGACATACTCCCATCGGATCGGTAGCAACAATTACCGTACCTGTGGACATTTGTTTAGTATTGTAATATAGCTCGCTTTTGCAAATTAAATCATTATTGCCATTGCGATCGTTCTATTTAAAGAAATGCATTGATTTCGGCCACTTTCGTGCTTTGAAGATTTTGTTGCATTCGGGATTGTTCTCATTCAGCCTTGTCTATTATCGTTGCCATGTGTAAGATGAAGAACCAGATAGAACCCTCGGGGCTAGACTAGAGTTTAATAGATGAGCTTCCAGGAACAACCTTACAGACGCATGCGCCAGACGAGGCAACACGTCTCATCATATCAGTACCAGAATTTCAAAAACCTACTCGGGTCGACCAAACTACTGTGATTTGGGGCAAGCAAACTGTACTCGCTAATGTCCTATTGACTATGGCGACGTTAGAAAACGAAAACGGAGTACAGTGTTTTCGAACGACTACATAAACATTATTGCTGTTTTCTGTAAGCTGAAGTTGCTCTGGAAAAGGATTTTAAAAATAATAATTACCTTGCAGTACGAGGTGTGACTCTAATGTGGCTTGGTGCCTTTTGCTTCGTAAGAAGTATAATGAAATACACCCGATACATGTGCACCTATATTATGCTCATGAAGGCGTAATGGTTGTGATCCAGCTTCAAGACGACCATAACGGTACAGTTCATTTCAACAATAAACCTTGAAGGTGAGGTCTTAACACCAATGAACCCTTAAGGTTGTAACACATGTATGTTAAAAATTTGCGTAGTGCAGACATGGCCAGGTCTTTTTTGTTTGGGGTTGACGTAAAATGACCGCAAGGGAGGGGTGCAAAAAAAAATTGTTCTTCCTGAAAAGTATACAGTGCACACAAAACAAAAACAAAATGGAAGTGCACAAGTTACATTCGATTGTATCACAATTCGGAAACCTTGTCAGAACAATGCATTTAACAGCCAGTAAGTTATACAAACTTAACCAAGTTCATTGATGTTATCAGTCTCCAAAAAAAAAAAATTAATAACAACATTTAGTGTATCCATCATCAGGGCCAATGACTTGTGTTGTGGAAATGTATACATTGCATTTTGTACTTCTCCAATCTAAGGGTGAGGATCGAGTGTGTCACAATATTTAGAGTTACAACGTTATTATATTACTGTTATTGTCGAAGAGCGCCCTCTCTCGATGTGAAATAAAGTGGAGTGTCTCGTGAAAAATGGCTGCCATAATATGAGTTATCTCTTTCATCATGTCCTTGTGCCCGCTCCCCTAAAATTAACGCAGTGCATATCTGCTTTGTCAATATTCACGTATTCATAGTGCAATGCGCTCAAGTACAGGCCTTTACACAGGTTATGAATAGATATAATTGTGCACGTCTGCACAAAGGCTCTGTTTGTGTCGAAGGCCTTGCACCGATCCGTGTAGTGAGGCTAGTTCGATTTTATATATGCAGCGGTGCTCATAATTTTTGCGGAAGACGAAGCAATAATGGTGCTCGTACGAGGAATACTGGTAGCGTTTGTGGTGGCGGTGGTTGCAGTGGCGACCTATGTAGTGTTCGCGCCTATCCCTGAGGATGTAGACAGCCCATGGATGCTCAAACTTATTTCGCCATTGATGACAAATGTAAGTATGCTAACAGTTTTTATATATGATATTGCCATATATAATTCATTGAGGTTGGACATGGGTATTACACGTAATGATACCCATAGTTCTAGTTGGACATTTGGACTGGCTATAAACCACATGAACGAGGCCCTCGTTTTAGACTTTCTCTTAATCTATGCTACACATGAACATTTTATGCAATGTCTTATTTCCCAATGTTTCAAAATGTGGATTAGCTGTTGTGTTGCACGACATTCAAAGCTCACTATGGTGCGTTGTCCGTGTTTTAAAATCTTATCTACATAGAAATTATTACAATTTGCCTGATCTGATCACGAGTGCGTATCAAATGGGTTTATATTAAGTCTATTCTTCTTTTCTTGGTGGGATTAACAAAATGTATAAATTCAATCCAGACTCTAAGAAAAAAGATCAGAGAGTGGGCATCGTTATATTTTTTTCTTGATTATTTTGTTAGGGTCATTATGTTGGGATGTTTCTACCGTGTGGTCTCGTCGATTGGTTAGATGAGCGATTCAGGGCAAACGCACGGGCGAGCGAGCCGGGAGTACCGTACAGAGACGCGGTGTTTGACCGGGTTCAAGTCCGGATATTTGCCGCCGAGCCAGCGGAAGGGAAGACCGATAAACGGCCGGCAATCGTCTTCTACCACGGCGGAGGTTTTGTATCAGGTCACATAGGTAAGATCTAAAACATTTAACTTTAAATGCATAAACATACGTATCAGTTTCCAATCATATCACCACTCAAAATCCAAATAAGAATGTTCGAAACCTAACCAGTTTCAGTTGAGTACTTGAGTGGTTTCACTATTCGAGAAAACAGTGAAACACTATGCACAGCCTTTTGATCGCAAAACACCATTTGTCAATAGCATACTTTATTTCCAACCATCAGAAATCAGTCATTATTGACTGATAGTTGGAAATCATCTAGATATTTCTTGATTCTTCTTAATGACAGCAAGGCAGACGAATGCAAATTAATGATCCCGTGTTCCTTTTAGTTTTGGTCAAAACTACTATCGTTTTTGCACCCTCCCTTTTGCTGTGGAAAAATATGGTATAAGTCAGGTAGATAAATTTGCTCTCATCATCATTTTGATTTTCGGGGGTGATTAAGTGTAAATAATACTTGAACAGGAACACATAGTGTATCAGAGAATAAATTCAAACAATAGCCTGTACGAAATGACGATACAGGTATTTGGGTGAAAAGCCTTTATGAGTGATCGGTATAGTTGGTGCTGCAGGTTATGTAAAATTTAATTTGGACGCCTTGATTCGTCCAAACCACCCGTGCAATAATCCTATAAACATTCACTTCTCCAGATGTCTACCACCCGTTAACGGCGATGCTGGCGCGGGAACTGAATGCTGTTGTGGTTTCTGTCAAGTAAGTTAACATTTTTTTAAGGGTGACGTTTCGTCAGAAAAGACATTTCTTTTGCCACAACCCCACCCAAGAATTGCTTCATTTTTTCTCAAGGCACTCTTGATGACACAACACCCTCGATTTTGAGTTAATTAAAATACTGTCAATGCTGTGTTTCTTTTATGCCTACAAGTATAATATTTTATGTATGGTCTTTAAAACAGTTACCTTTTGGCGCCAAAATATCCATTCCCCGCGGCAATAGACGACTCCACAGCTGCCATAGTCTGGTTCCTGAAGCACCTAGGCGATTTCAACGTCGATCCTGCGAGAGTTGCCATCATGGGCGACAGCGCTGGGGGCAACCTGGCAGCAGCCGCGGCACAACGGTTAACCTTTGACCCCGAGTACCGTGACCTGCCCAGACTCAAGTTGCAAGTCTTGATCTATCCGTGCTTGCAAGCGTTTGATTTCCACACGCCTTCCTATCAGCAAAATGGCGACTACAATACACTCATAGTGAACAGAAGATTTGCGGTGACGGCTTGGAATAAGTATCTCCGTGGTAACAGGGGTGACGTCACGGAGGCAATGGTGATCAATAACCACACCTCGGCTGCCGCCAAAAGCTCCCCGTTGGTCCAAAAATGCCTCTCGCACGACCTCATCCCTGACGAGTTTAAGAGACCAGACTACAGAGCGCCCTCAACCGACTTCGGCGATGACGCCCTCTACGAGGAGATCAAGGACGTCCTCTTGGATCCAGACTACGCTCCTCTCATGCGAGAAGACCTGAGAGGACTCCCAGAGGCTTACATCCTGACCGCCGAGTATGACGTCTTGAGGGATGAAGGCATCATGTATGCCAAGCGGCTGGAGATGGCGGGAGTGCCAGCCACTTTGAAAAACTACAAGAAGGGTTTTCACGGCTTGTTTAGCTTTCCCTCTGAAGTGGGTAAGCAAGGCGTAAATGATTTTCTGCAATTTGCGCGGGAAAAACTGTAAGTTCATGAAGTTCAAAACGTTCTGTTATTGTCAATAACTAGCACATGTAAATAAAACAGTAGTCTAATTGATATTTGATATGATGGATAACAGTACGAAGGACCGTATTGGTGTTATGATTATTTAGATGATGTATAAGTGATTCTGCTGTTTGCGCGGAAGACAATTCTAAGACAATTAACTGAAATTGAGAAACGCAATACGATATAAAGCTGAAATAATTTACATTTGTTGAATTAATTTATAAAACTTACCTTTTTTGTAGTTAATAAGGGGGGGGGCCCTCTGTCACCAATCTTGCTACAACACATGGACCTTCTCGTGGAACATTTGTTTACCATGGAATAAAACTTCGGTGCGGCTGGGCAGTGGCTGTTGGGACAAATAATTCAATGACATGAGATCAGCTACCTAATCCGATGGGAGGAATGTATTAGACTTTGTATAAAATAAACTAACGATTAGCTCGTAGGCTGTGTATTGTCATATTCCTTTTAATCAAGACTGACCTCTTCGATTATCTCGTCTTTGATTGAGACGTTCTGCCCGATTAGAACTACCTTCAAACCAGGGAATTCCGTCAATATAGTTACCATGGAACTGGCGTAGGTCATGCGCAATTTACTGTGTGCTTCATCAGGGTTCCTGAAAATAAAAGAAGTCAAAATGATTTAAAAGTTATGACGATTATGTCCTCCCAATCCGAAGCAAAACAGCAAGGTCACCAAACACATTATACCTTTTTTAAATCTGAAAGATCGTGTAACTAAAATATTCATTTGGCATTTTTCTTTGTAGATATTGTGAACACAATAGGAGGGCGCCATTTTGCTAGAATAAACCATATTAGACATCTTAGACACCTCGACATGACATTCTTAAGTTTTTAAGTTGTGTTTATATCAAAACGCTGCGACATGTAACAGCCATGTCCTGTTAAGTTCGCGTGTCGTTCGTATAAGTATCGTTGCTGTTTTCTTTCTAATGGAGATCACTAATTTCTATATACACACAGAGTATTAGAGATATTTGTGATATTAGATGCTGTGGTCAACACTGACGCTGTCTCGAGATATTTCAACAAAAACAACACACTCGATGTGGGTCCAATAAATCGGGAAATATTTTATTCGTATTCAATTGAAATTTCGTCTGTTAAATGAGTGTTTAAAAGACGGCGTGTAAATATAAAAAAATTGTCAAATACTTAAAGGGAATGTACATCATTGGCTTTTGCTGTTATTTTTAAAAATGAACTATTTGAGGGGTAAGTATAATAGATCAAATATTGTTACACTGACATGTTTGAAGTTTTGTGTTCGAAAATGCTGGAAAAGCCAAGAAAAACAAAAACGTTGAAGTAGTCTGGTTCCCTGACTCCACTAAAGATGAAATGGATCAACTTATAGATGCCGGAAAATTGTTAGGTCAGGGAACCAGTCTAGCTGACCTGCACCCGTTCATGAACATGTAACCAATAGCAAACAAAATTTTGACTGAACAAAATGGTAAATTTGGAGCAGTAGCTGAAAAATAGTTAGGTTTTTCCAACGGTGATCGGCCGACCACCGTTGGAAATTTATACAAAAATACCATTTTCTTGAAAATGACTTCACACCAAGTGCCATAATTTTACAGGATGCTTTAGACTGTCATTAACCAACATCCTAGTGACGTATTTCGTAAAAACTTGGTAGTTTTATTTGTCGATGTTTGCAAATATTGTATATTCCCTTTAAATTAATCCCAACAGAATAGCGGGTCTCAGCGACGAAAAAAAAAATCACAAGCTTACCCGGGTAATTTTGTGTAAGTTCCAATTTGTCTGTTTTGTTCAAACAAACAGAAAGTACTTTATTTCGATTTTGGGCGTCTTCAACCCTCTGAAAGAGGGCTTTCCTTTTGTGAAGAAACCGACCCTCTGTGCGAGAGCCGAATTATTGTCTGGCAGATGTGCGAAGGAATAATTAATTAAATAAAATGTCGTTGGATTTTTTTCGCTCGGTGTTTCATTGAAAAGTGAACAACTTTACTTGTACAGGGTGAGTCACAAAAAAGGAAACCCAAATGGAACCCCCGATTTTGTTTGAAGAAGTTCTGCGTGTAGTGCATGTGAAAGCCCAAGCTTTCTTTTATTAAAATAAAAATTCAAATCGGTCATGCACTTTTCCAGTTATGGACTTTTAAACATAAACACACTTTTACAATTTAGCCCACGGATCACAATAAAGGTAAGTGATATTTTAGCAAAACGAGGACAATTCATACATGCATGTAGGCCTATATAGAAAAACCACAACAGAACACTCTCATAACCACGATAACTGGCGCTAATCATAACCTATATTAAACACCCTCTGCTTCCAATGTTTTTAAACAGCATGCTATAATGTCAAGAGTTTATAGTCTTTGTCACGGCTAAAGGCAGCGTTCGCCATTTTCAGCCGGACAGAGAACAATCTCAAAATCAAAGGAAATAAAGTTAGCCAAAATAATGCACAAACAAATTCAATTTCTCCTTTGGATGATCTTATTTACAATAACCCATACAAATATTATTTACACGTCCAAATCTTCCTCCACACAGGATGCCCAATCTGGCATAAAGGGATGGAGAAACTGGTACAGAATTTCACTCAGAAATCTTGGCGAAAGCCGAAAATGCATACAGCCCTGGCTTCACAAAGAAGCAAAAGGTGCCAAAACGGGCACAAAATCACGAAGTCAAAATATCTCAGCTCTAATCAAAATATACGGGCAAACTATCGGACGGGGCGGACAGGTCCTACACCTCTGGCGTCTAGTGAGTGTTCTGGGATGTGGGACTACGCCCAAGCTTAAATATACCAGTTAAAGAACAATACAAATTCCAATCAATCTCTTCTACAGTGTATGAGGTTCACTAAATTCCTGAGGTCCATATTGCAACAACGATCTAATTAAACTATGGCCCTACTTGAAAACCCTAGATGTGCTGGATGGGAGAATACAATCTAAAGACTATTGTGTTTCTTCACCTGAGTATGAATTAGCTATGCTGCGGGGAGACATACAAGATTAAAGAAACAGTCTATATCTACATTTGACAGAAGGAATAATAAAAAGTGTAGTCTTGGCCTGCCTTCGAAGTTCTACGTGGCTACCCCGGGGACATATGTGATTATTCTGATATCGTTTTCATGATACCACATGGTTTCATTGGACTGAAATATCACGTACCTTAATGTGATCCGTGGGCAAAGGTTTAAAAATGTGTTTGTGTTTAAAATTCCATAACTCGAACAGTACATGAGTGATTTGAATGTTTCTTTCAGTAAAATGAAAGCTTATTAATTGGGCTTTTATATCCTAGATCTGGAAAGCGATACATCTTGCAGACCTTCCTTAAAAATAGGGGCGCCACGTGGGTTGCCTTTTTTATCCACCCTGTATATTGATAAGAATATAGCAATTGAAAAAAAAAGAAGAAGTATTTTTCGAGGTGAAAACTCGAGGTGAAACTCGAAAAATAGCATAGGGATTCATCTTTAATATTCTGATTTTGATTATTATTATTATTTAATGGGCAGAAAGAAGACAACATTGAAGGGATTGTAACAGAGTTCCGAGTCAATAAAGGGTTCTTTTCCGACACATTTGCTGAATACAGGGTCAATGTACAATAATTGTACGAACCAGAAGATGAAGGCCAGCACGTCTCCTATACATTCCATTCTTTAGGAGCATCGAAGTGAGCGTATCGCGGTTCTACCGATGATTTCAGAGCATAAACAAACTCCTCGTAGCCCGCTGCACCAATCTTATCCACAATCACGCGCGAGCGTTATTCCTGTCGCTGTCGATCTTGAGGATGGCCCATTGAAGATGCGCGGTGTAGGTATGCCTCACAGATCAAATTTCAGTCTGCGTCGGAAAGACGGATTCTGTGTTGTCTTTTAGAAGTTATACCGCGTCTTACAACTAAACTTTTTAACTTGACTGAGACATAAATAATTGTAATGTGACAATGAATGTGTTTGATTTTTGTTAATAACACTTAGCATGTTTTTATGCAGATTTAAATTGGTTACAATGAGATTTTTGTGTAGATTCGTATATCCTCTTTTGTTCTGTTCTCTATACGTTTTTCATTATTTGTATGTTACTTTTAGCTTTATTTAAATTAAAAGTTGTCTTTTTCGACAATGATAATTCTTATATGTTTTCGATATATTTATACTTTATGCACTTTTGGGAAAACGACTTTTACTTTCACAATTTTTTTTTTAATTGTAAAGAAATAATTGAAATGTTTGAATTATAGTGAATTGAAGCTTGGGACCTGATTTAACAGGTTCTTTATGTGATTTGCATTTCATGCGGCACCAGTCTATAATCGTGACTTTTGCTCAAAAGTTGATAGATTTTTTCCCCACTGCTAAACAAAAAAGACGTTTAAATAATTGCTAGTAAACTCAATGAAACACTTGTAACCATGCGGGCTGGAAGTATTTAAAGCAATGACTGAGCAGTTTTGGGCACTGCCGATAGCAATGCGATTTCAATTGTGTTTCTTTTTTACCTGTAAGCTTATCAAAAGGTTGAGTGTAAATACTGAATACGGTCAGACAGAGCTGGTGTACAATGGCAATGAACCTTGAGTATTCACGTCTGCACAAACGCTTTGTTGGTGTCGCAGTCTGCCGATCAAACACCTCGGTACACACATGCGGCGGTGTTCATATTTTTGGCGAATGGCGAAGCAGTAATGGTGCACGTACGAGGAATACTGCTAGCGTTTGTGGTGGCGGTGGTTGCAGTGACGACCTATGTAGTGCTCGAGCCTATCCCTGAGGATGTAGACAGCCCATGGATGCTAAAAATTATTTCGAAATTTCTGATATTGGTAAGTATGCACTAGCATCGTAGGTTTTGTCGTACGAGGTTGGACACTAGTTTTGTGAGACTGGCCATAAACCATGCATGATGAGGCCCATGCACATTTTAGACCTGCTCCAAATCTACATGAACATTTTCTGCAATGTCTTTATTATTTCCCAAATTATTTCAAATGTGGGCCAACGTGCCACTTGACATTATATTTGTATAGGCTCACTCTGGTGCCCTCTCGGTGTTTCAAAATCATATCTACATATTTTATAGCGTTATAGTTTTGGTTTTGCGGTAACACAATGCCTAGGGCTGATACTGACAGTCGAGTCAACAAGCCTGAGCGAGCAGGACACACTACGGGCATCCCACTCCAACATAATGCCCAACAGACCACCAATCAGATTCTACCAACGCAAGCACTCCCAATCCTAACACAGCCTACATAAGGAGCAGCATCTCCAATTCTCCTCAGTCTCCTGACGATGACTAGAGCAGGCTAGTCGAAACGTTGAGACCAAAGACAAGTTCTTTTATACCTTAAAGCAGGACTGTTCTTATCAGAACTTAAACCACTTGGCGAAATTTGATATCAGCGGGACAAGTTCTTATCAGAACTAAACTATATATTTACTGGGCGACATATTGATTACCACATGATGTACCGCAAACCGAAACGATACTGATATACTCCACCATGCAAAACCTATAAAATCTTATATTTTATAGCATTACTGGCCTTCCCTTGTCTTCGGTTATGATTGAGTGGGTAATGGGTTTACATCACGCCAGTTGTTCTTTTCTTGGTTGGATTAAAATGTGCAAATGCCATCCGACTCCCAGAAAAAAATGGATCAGAGACTGGCCATATGTTATTTCTTGGTTATTTTGTTAGTCTCCTTATGGTATGAAGGCCCTGCCGACTGGGCTCGTCGACTGGCTGGATGAGCGATTCAGGGCGCACTCCCGGGCGAGCGAGCCGCGAGTAC